GTTTACATTTATCTTCAATAGGTTTTTATCATTTTACATTTATTTTGCATGGAAATTCTCATTATTGTACTCATTCTACTATTTTGAGCACAATTCTGCTAGCTCTCTGTTAAAATGTGGTGAACAGGGCTCATCGAAATCTGGGGTGAAATGCATCCATAGAAAACTGGCGTCGACTGAAAAGCGGAACAAAATGACAATCGGCACGCCCTGAACCTTCTCGTTATATTTACGTTCTCTGCTCTATGTAAATAGACTTAAGAAAATATGTTAAAAACTACTCAACCACGATTGTGTGTCCCTCAGGAAATGTAATCCAAACGCGTTATCTTTGCAAAATTCCAAATTATATATGCTAGTTTCGTATATTTTTCATCTGAAAATCGGAATTTGTTTTAGGGACTTCAATTACTACATGTAAGTCATAAAATATAAATTATAGTTCACGATTATTTACTGATTTTGTTTACTTTCACGTAAAATAAATAAAAATATTGCTCAGAAAATAAACATTGACTTCAATAAATTTTTTTTTCTGAAAATATCGCTAAAACTTCTTACTTCTAAAAGAAAATAAAACGGTCAGTAGGGCAATTCTCTATCGTATTATAACGATTTTCGGATCGTTATAATGACTTAACGATAATTTTAACGATTTTGCTATTCTCTAAGCACATTATAACGATTTTCGGATCGCAAAGAAGACTTAGCGATAGTTCTAACGATTTTAATATTCGGTGTACTTGTTTTAACGATATTCGCTCTCGCTGTTGTCGAAAACTTCTCGACAAATCGCAAACTAAGCGACGAATATTTTTAAGTTGTTAGCGATATCGACAAAATTTTGTAAATTCATTTAAGAGAGTAAAGTTTCCGGGAAATTGTCTAAGTTATACAGAAATAAAAATAAAAAATTTAATTAATGGCTTTGGAATATTTGGCATAGGATTTATCAAAAAAAGGCCGAGGTATTCTAACCTTCATCATTGAATAGAAGTTTGCGTCGAGAAGCGGAAGATCCTTTTAATTTGGATGCTACCGAGTTTCGCCGGATTTAGTTGAAGAAATCGTTTCTGAACTAGATTGTCAACTAAAAGGAAGAAGAATAACAGCATTGTCTACGGAGAAACAGGTAATAATATATATTTTCAATATTTTTTTAGTTTAACACTATTAAAATGTTCAAAGATTCTAACCGCCTCGCGATTTTTCGCAATGGGATGTCCATCAGTCAGTCGTCAGTAAACCGTTGTATGCATTGCGTAACAGACGCAATCAACCGTTCAAGGTTTTCTGTTAGTTTTCCAAATTTTTGCTTCGTCATCGTCAACATTTGTTGGAGGCACTATTGGAGCTATCGATTGCACATGAGTTAAAAATCATGAAGAAGCGTATATAAACCACCATGGATACCATTCTATCAATGTGCAAATGGTGAGAGTAAATTTGATTCCTATTACTATTGTAGTAACAAAGTTAATTATATTTTCACATAGATATGTGGTCCTTATCGCAAGATTATACTGGCAAATGCCAAGTACCCAAGAGTGCGGCACAACTATTTTATTTGGAGCTCCCCTATAGAGGGAAGGGTCATGCATGAAATTGCAAACCATAACATGCTTTTGGAAAACTTTGTAATGCATTGCTATTCATTTAATAAAAAATAATTTCATTAACAAATTTATTTGTTTTTGTGCGATGTCAATTATCGTAACAACTGAGTTAGAGAATCGCATAATACTGAGCGCAAGCGACAAAATTAGTAAATTTGCGATCCGACAAATCGTGTCGAAATAGTTACAGAATTGCGCTGCAGGTATTCCTAATTCGAGTGCGCTGAATTTAATGACATTAGCTGTGTTCGTTGAGAAATGCCAGTAAAAACCAGCAACGAACAGGAACCAGTATATATTAATTAACAAATTGTACAACAGCTGTTAATTTTGAATTCGTTCATTTAAACAGTATTGTTTCTGGTTTTAAGTGTTTTAATAAAATTGGCAAGTATGCTTCATAACAGTCCAACTACAAAGGTATCAAAATGTATTTTCTAATAATCCTCTAAAAGGATTTACAGTAAGGATAACTGAAATACGAAAATAAGTTTGAAATTCTATTTCCGAGTAAGACGATTCTGTTTCAATAAAAAATAAGCAAGAGCTTCATCTTTCCTTCCAAATGCTACTAAAGTTTCCTTTTGTTCATCGCCACCGCTTGTACTGTTCCAAAATGCATAGGTAAAATTTTTGATACGCAAACAAAAGCAAACTGCGCATCGCTATGGTATGTCGAAGAGCATGTTTTTTGCGCTAATTATGATTTTAAACATTATGATACTTTTTTTTTGATCTGTTTTATATTTGAGCCATTTCACCGAAAAACAACTTATTTACACGAAAATCCTTCCAATTGTCTGAGTTTGCAAAGTATTGTTGCAAGACAAATTTATGGAACGCAGGGTTGCATTGTAATTTGGTAAAAAAATGTTACTGCCTTGAATTGTACGCAATATATGCATTTCTATTTCTTGTGCATCAGCCTTCTCTGTCATCTCAAAAGATACATCGTGTTAATAGTCTTGCTAACAATTTTGCCAGCTGTCAGGAGATGCCCTTCCTCCTCTTCCATGCAGATTTGCTTAAGTTCTTTGTAAGTGCCTATAATTTTGGTGCAATCGCCACTGTTCGATCAGGTTTTTCTATTTTTTTATTGACATTCACAAAATCAATCTTTCAATATTTGAAAAATATACTGAAATTACTGAAATACTCACATACATACGAAAAATATAATTTTATGTTACATTTCAATTTGAAATGACTGATTTTTGGTCAACTTTATTAGTGTCCCTAGAACTCTTATCACGGAAAGATTTGCGTCACGGAAGATATGCAATATCTACTACATACATATGAAATTATAAACTGATAAAAAGATTACGTACATGCAAAAGTTACTTTTTTCGGTGAGACTTGGACAATATTAATTGTTAGGGTTGTGACAAATGCAAAAAATTTTTGAGACGAAAAAAAAAATTTATATATTTATACGTCGATATTAGCGTAATCTTCATGAGTCGATAACTCGGTTGATGTGGAGATCCAGATATTTTTCACTGGTAGAGGTATAGAAATACTAAATGGTTCGTAGAAAAAAAATACAAAAGCAAGTCGCCACTGCATGGAGTCTTGTTTCGACTACGGTTCATAATGAGGAACCTAAGTTTCGCCTTCGGCAGCACTGACTCAATATACCATTCTCTCTTCATTATGGTCATGTTCGTCCAGAATTTAAAAAATAGTTAAATCGGATAATCCAAACATTTCTGATCCTAGTGAGTATTATCCCTGTACAGCAAACTGTGAAATGCTCTCTTGGCAACAATCACGATTCTTCATCAATTAGAAAGCGCTTCTGTTCAAGAACGATCATTAGGGAGAAAATACTTACGGAAATAGCAGGGAAACATCCGGTGTCCGGAAAGGAGCTGAAAGAGGTATATGACTGTTGGACCGTGTAGCCAGGCTGTAAGCCCGATATGATAAGGCAACAGGAGCTGGTGTTTGCTTCTAATCCTAAACGAAAAAAAGGTGTAAATCCATTCATTGTATCGAGTACAGACCATTGACAGACCTAGGAACTTCCTTTAGTTCCTCCGGTGGTCCACTTGGAGAGACTTTCAACGTTTGGAAAAAGTGTGTCTGATCGTGTCGATCAGACTTAAGGGTTCCAGTGGTCGAACTGGAGGGATTTGAAAAATCATCGAGGCTTATTTAGCGGAAATCATTATATTAATAAATGGTTAGTTAATAATTAATCCCTCCCATAAAATTAGAGAAAAAAGGAAGGAATTGAAATATATTTAGTTAATAATAAAAAACCTAATAGAGGCTCTGGGCAGGCCAATTCAACAATGGATTTTCCTGATTTTGATACCTCTGATTAACAGACCTCCACTTGTGGCAGGACACATTGTTCTATTGAAAAATTGCGGTGGTGAATTGTGACAACTTTAAGCCTTTAAAACACCGTAGACGATTATTTGCAAACAAGCTTTGGTATGCTACAGATTCAGATTGCTCATTATCTGCGCAATAGTACCAACACAATGCTTCGTAGCGCTACCCCAAACACAACACTTCCCCCACCAAACTTAACCATCTTCCTGGTATACTTCGGGTCTGATTCTTTATATTTGAGAGGTCGTACAAAAGTTCTCCCGTCAGGGCGACACTCAGCTGCCAAGGGAGTCAGTTACAAAGTGAACTGGTTGGCGACAACATCAGTATAGAGTATAGCGGAATAAACTATTTGTTTATATTGAGTCGTAAAGTAAACGCGTTGGAGATTACATTTAAGTAAAGTAAATTATGAAAATTTATACAAGTGATTGTAACTACAATAGTAAAGTGCATTGTAATTGAATTGTGAATTACTGAGTAAATAAGAGACATTAGATAAATTCTTTATATCGAAAGAAACTGCAAATTAAGTTGGCGATTTTTATTTAACAATCCAGAGATCGTACCCAAAGGATTCAGAAAATCATCGAGGTTTATTCGGCAAAATCGTAACTGTATAGAAACACAAAACGTGTCGAACGACCACAGCGACACGGTGCGCTGTCGTATTCTCCTCAGCAAACGAGTGTTTCATCGACAGAAAGTATCCCCATGTGAACTCAAACGAATTACGAAAAACTTTTCTGATGTTAGGGTAGTTAAGATGTCAGTTTAACTCGAAATGAAATAAAGGGATACTTCTTTGAAATCGACCCAAAAATATTTAAGAAATACGGGATTTATAATGGCAAAACTCCCACCTATTAATACCATCACAAAAATTTTCTTAAATACCAGTATTATTAGATTAGATTCAAATGATTGTTTAAAGGTTCAAAAATTCAAATATTTGTATAGTGTGGCAGAAAATTTGTCAAACAAAGTTTTTCCGTGAGTAAAGGCAGTAATGCGTGATCTTGTTCATTGGTTCAGAGTAAAATTAACCATTAGTTAGAACTGGTAATACCGCCCATGTTATTATTTAGTTTTATAACCATTTTCAGCCAAGTGTTATTTGTGTTCAACTCATCAATGCTTATGTTGTTATCAAAGCTGTAGCGCGAATTCGGAGGGTAATAATTTCTAAAAATGCAGAACACGGGTTGTATATCAAAAACTACGCAATTAAGAGAGGATGAAAAACAAAACGTAATGAAACAGTTAGGAGACATATTTAATTGTTCTCCAAATCAGCAACTGCGAAACCTGTGCGAATCGCAAGCGTGGAATGGTAAGCAAATTGTTTCCATTGTTTATGCGTAAATAATTTTTCGTTTAATTTTAATCTCAGTTGATCGCTGTATCGACTACTTAATAAAGAACAATAATAATGACATCAATGATAATCAAAGTAAATTACGTAGCGGTGCCATACCAAAAAATAATTCCGTTGCAGAAAAAAGTGCATATAAGGAAGCGACACAAAAAAAACTCCATTCCAACGGTAACAACTATGCGCTGACAAACAATAAAAGCCAAAACAAAATGCAAACTAATATATCTGTGGAGCAGCGGATTGCAAAACTAATTTGCGAAGGGTCAAAAGTAATGGTGCTACTAAGAGGTGCGCCGGGAAGTGGTAAATCCTTCTTGGCGAAGAGCATGATAGAACGGCTTGTACCTCTAAATGATCAGTATACATTAAATGATTTTATATTTAGTAGCGATGACTACTTTTATAACTGTTCGGGAGTGTATAAATGGCAAAAAACCCTCTTAGATCAAGCGCACGAATTTAATCAACGCCAAGTTTTGGAACGAACCCGGGCTGGTTGGAGTCCAATTTTCATTGACAACACAAATATAAAGCTATGGGAAATGATGCCTTACGTACAAATGGCAGTGCAGAATGGATATGTTATTGAAATTCTTGAACCTAAGACTTCTTGGCGCTATTCTCCAGGAAAACTTGCTCTTAAAAATAAGCATAAAGTTCCCGCAGAAAAGATAAAGACTATGCTGAACAATTTTGAAAAAGGAACAGTGAATGACTTATTAAAGGTAAGCATAGGAATATAGTGAATCAATTACACGTTATGTAACGTTGGTCACCTTGGAAAATTATAGTGTTTTGAATAAGGGTTTGAATCTAAACTTTTATGAAAATATATTTTAACTTGTAAACAAAAGTTATAAAAGTTATAAACAAGACAATATATACAATCAGAACATAAGCAATGTAATGGTGAATTTTATCAAGTTACTGTGTAAAATTGTTAATGTAATTTCCAAATTATGACGGCTTTTTTTTTACAACTTTCATTATGTTCCGAACGGCTCTTGGTTTTAATCTTTCGGATTGTTATTATTTTACGTCAAACACTCTTTTCTTATACTTATACAAATAGATGCAAATGAAATTGACGAAGTTATTTCAAATATTCAAATAGTAAAAATATCGTGCTCAACCCTTGTATCGGTTTGCTAAGAGTTCTTTAAGAAAAATATCTATACGCACGGAAGAAACATTTTTTCAAGTCTGTTTAAGCGTTTTAAGGAAACTAAATTCCATCCAAAAATTTATTTTCCACTAATAAGCCTAAATTTAGAAAAAAAAGTTTATATTGTTTTATCAAAATAGACATTTGTTGTAGTACATTCATAAATAACATTTAACTGACCATCATAAACAAATACGGCGTAATTAATTAACTTTTAATATTTGCCATGATTTAAAGATGCTGAAAATTACTAAATACCACGTTACACTACCACAAATGCGAACATTCCCACCCATATCATATGGACAGCAAGATACTGAAACAGACGAAGTATTTCAAATATATGGTAAAGAGAATACAGAAATTGATCTACAAGCAGCAAGAGCCACAGAAGATATTTCTTCACGTATAGAAGAAACCGCTCCTAAATCGCAAAGGGAAAGATACAAACAGAAAGGTGCATCACCTAGCCATGAACTCAATCACCTACAAGACCTGGAAGGAACCGATGATCTCGTTATTATTTCAAATAAAGAATCAGTTGCCTGGCAACCACATGAACAAGAGATAAATAATTTTTGGAATACTCAACAAAACGGTAATGACGTAAAAATGATAACAAGACAGAAAGAATGCCACGAAAAATCTCTCTTAGATTTATTGCGGCAAGGTATTTACGACGAGAATAATACTCAAAAAGACAATGAGCAGGTAGAAAACGCTCAGCATTCACCAAATCTTGAACGCCATTCCATCAACTGCCCAAATGAAAATAGGGCCTTTGCATCTTTACGTCAAATTTATCCAAATAAAGAGGTCGCTAGTATGTGGGACTTGTTTGTAAAATGCAATGGTGATATAGACTGGACAGTTGATCTTCTTTTGAGAGAAGATGAACTTATGTCTGCGAACAACAGCCAAAATACCTTACAAGTACCTGATATTGTAGATAACTTTCAATGTTACTGCTTTAAACAAGAACTTCAAGTTGAAGAGGAGAGTTTTATATCAGTGACAGCACCAATTTCTGTGGAATCAGGCCCAAAACCGCAACGACAACGAGCGCGGGCTACGCGTGTGAATCAGCGGTCAAATCCGGAACTACAGGAATTAACTGATATTTTAGCAAATCGTTTTGTGCTCGACGGAGAGCAGTTCTCTCCACACGTTCGAAAAATACGTGAAATGCGCGAAAAACAACGAAATCCAACACAAAAATTATATGCTAGCACTGAGGTTCAAACTGAGCCACTCTTGGTGGAACAGCCAATAGATGATGAAGAATACGATGTAGAAACAAATGAGATAATTGAAGTCAATCTGGGAGAAGGTTTAATAAATCAACTAAAGAATATATTTCACGTTGAAATGTCTTCTCTTGTTGAAAAGCTTCCAGAAAATCCTATTTTGAATGTATTCATGCCTCGAACGCTAGCAAAAGAACTTTACATGCTATGGGTTGAATCTGCATACAACTATCTTGAAGAGCAGAGGCAGAACACAACTCGTGAAGATGCTCATTTTGCTTGTCTGCTGAAAAATCCGAAGTACGAGAACTACAAGGAGTCGCCCGAAAATCTTCAAGAGTTGCTAGATATGGAGTATGCTAGACAAATCTATAAGGCTGAACAAGAAAATGAAATACAAAGAGCTGTCAATATACAGCAACAATATCAACCAAGTGACCTAGCGTCACATCTAACGCAAATGAAACTTTGTGAAACTTTTCCAAACATTCCTCGTGAAACTCTAATTGAAATATTATCAGCTCACAACAACAACTATGACGAAACAGTACGAGTTCTAATAAGTACCACGCAGCCTCTAGAAGATCACACATCTTCCGATCTGGATAAGACTCTTGTCAATCTTAGTTTAGAGGAGGAAGAAATAGTATATTCTTTTTATTAAAAATCTTAAGAAATATGATTACATTTTTTTTATTTATTACTTCAGATTAAAGCTGAACAACATAATGGCAAAAATAGTGAGGATCGCTCAAACAAAGTACCTTTACAACCAGAGGAAGCAAAACACAAGGCATTACACGATTTCGAAGAAATGCGAAACTTAGCAGCACACCACTGTCAACTTAAAGCGGAGTGCTATCAGAAAGCAAAAGAAGCAATTCAAAAAGGAAACAGTGCTGTTGCTGTTTATTATTCTCAAATTGCTAACTTCCACAAAATGAAATTGGATATGTACAATCATCGCGCGGCTAATTGCATTATGGATGTGCACAAATATACACAAAATAATCCAGAGCTTTTAGACTTGCACTATTTGCATGTGATGGAGGCTATCGGATGTTTGGATTTGTTTTTAGATCGACATATTGCGGGTCTCCGTGCAACATCTCGCACTTATAAGAATCTATTTATAATAACTGGACGCGGGCTGCATAGCTCCGGTGGAGTATCTACTATTAAAAACAAAGTCAAAAGTCGTTTGAAAGAACGAAACCTACGGTAAGCTTAATTGATTTCTTTTGATAATTATTTATTTCAACCATTCATAGGTGGAGCGAAGTGAATCCAGGATTACTAAAAGTGAAAATTTTTTCAGCATCAAAACACTCCAAGAATATTTAATATATCGAAAAGCAGTATGAGGAAATCCCAAAAATATCATTTTTTTTTATTAAAAAAAGGTTTTAATACGTACATAATAGACCTATGTATTTTATAGACTAGAATGTAATAAAAACTATTTTTCTACAAATTGTTATGTTAAAATAAGCATTCAATAAATAAAATTACTTAAGTATTGATATAAACATTCATGTGCAAATAAATCAGGTGCTGTGTTTTAAAGAAAACTAATCGACGGATTTAATTTAAAAAGTAAAAAACCAGCTTAACACGCTTTGAGCTTAGTGCCGAGAATTGTATCAACTTCATAGTTGTATGCAACTTATGACATCGTTGTTTTTTATACATCATTTACTACTTTTATGAAAGAAAATTATATAAAAATTTAGAAGTTTGCCCACAAGGGTTTGATTACTGGCCGGACCAAAAATTCAAAATTATTTTAAAATTAATTAATTTTCCTAATTCTGGTCGCCCCTTGAAGGGAGATGTAAAATTTCTCGAAAATGAAATATAAAGACCATCGGCGACGTAATTATGTATATATCCTTTATTATATTATATTACATTGTTTTTTTTTTTTAAGTCTAGCAGTCATTTATTAGCAAAGCTTGCAAGTAGCATTCAATATGGTGCATGGTCTATCTATTTCATTTTGGCGGGCTGTTATCTTCAGTTGATTTGCTATTTTCGAGATTCGAACGGGTTTTCGTAGGTGAATTTAATAAAGCAGTGGCACCGTTCGGCAATTGGTTTTCTTTGCCTGCGCTTAGGCGATTGGCTATCAATTTGTCAAAGAGATTGCCACGCATTGAATTAATATTGCGAGCGTTACTTTCTCTTCTCGGCGGCGTATTTAAAAACACTCCTTCAAAAATTGTTTCCAGACTGTTGCAGCGGCTTAGACTTGTCTTGCTCTTTTCATCATCCGTGGGAGGGCTGATTTGTGCATTAATCTCTTGTAGTGTTACAAAATCTAAACTTGAGCAGGCACATGGTGTAGAATCATCGTCCACCTGAATCACTCGCGTTGGTGTTTGTAAATCTTCCAAATCGGTGTCAATAGGCGAAGGTGTACGACCCAGTGGTGATACTAGTCTGATTTCAAACGCTGGCAGCTCATCGCCAATTACCAGTGGATCCAATTCTCTATCAACTGTTAAAGAAAATGATAAGTCGGCTTCACTAGATAAAGAAGAATGTGACGACTGATGGCGGGATGTGTTCATTTCGGATTCAGACATTTCCATCATATGGTCAGGTGTCGGTTCATCTCCTTCTTTAAAAGATGTTGCAATCATTTTGGCAAATTTAATAATTTTTTTAATATTAATATGGCAATAATTCTACAGTTATAAAAAACAATACGCACGGCAAAGAAAATAAATCAAATATATCTTTAAAAATAAAACATAACGAAAGAACTGTCAGTAAATACGCGTTGCCAACTATATGACCATAGTGCTACCAAATGAAAATCTCATTGCATTGACAAAGTTATTTAACAATAATTCCCATAGTATGCGATCGTTAATCAGCGTTTATTTATTACAACTACCTAACACTCTACTATTTTGACCTTACACCGATGGTGTCACCAACGAATTTGTAACCGAATAATCCTGTGTTGGCCGCCATCTCATATACCTCATTGCTTGCTCGTACTCAGCTCTGAAAATTTCTGTTTTCTAAGTTTTTACGATCAAGCGGCCGCGATAGCCGAATGGTCTGCCATACGGAAGGCAACGGGTCAAAATTTAGTACGACCAACATTAAGAATTATAGAAGATTTATTTTAATAATAACTAACTAAGTAAATTTTTGTAATTGCAGTCGACCCTCAGCGGGAATGTATTTATAACAGAAAATAAAGGCTTCTCATAAAAAACCATCAGCCGTTCGTAGGCGGCTTAGTATAAATTGTAGGACTCTCCATTTGTTGGAAAAACATCAAGAAGCATACCACAAATGGGAGAAGTAGCCCGTTATTTTAACATATTTGAAAGATGCAAGATAATACCTAAATTTACGTCTTATTATATACAATGCATGTTAGGTCATTAGCTGCTGTGATTATCTGATTATCGGTCCATGATCAAGCGCCCTCCGGCCCGCTGTTATGTCATAGGAATGGTGGGTTGATAATCAAATGTGTGTGTGTGTGTGTTATGAAACACTAAAACTTGATATTTATCAGTAGAAGTAAGAACTTCCTTTCTATACCTCTACCTCCACACTGCTGTAGACTCCAACCATCTCACGAGGATTTGTTTAAAAAATCACAGTTTCTTATTGCCACTCTAGATATGATGTGGTTGCGTTGGGAGCTAGGCTGTCAGAATCTTTTGTAATCACTAGTGTAGAGAATTGAATAATCACGATGCAGCTTGCAGGTAATTCTGACTGAAAGGCAAATTATATAGCTCATGTAGTCGTCAGACTTTGAGCCATCAGTAAAAACTTTTATATACATTTGATACAAACTGTATATTTCATTTTGCTTCAAGTAAAGGCTTAATATCTGATAGCTAGTACCTTCTAGCCATAGCTCTCTAATTCGCCTTGTTTTCATTCCATAAATCTTCACTTTGGTGAATCCAGGAAGTCGAGAAACATTGAACTAGATAAGATATTCACTAGCCCCACCCCCAGCGTGTTAGGAGCTCAAGAATTTACCCGTGGTAGTAAAAGTTCCCACTAAAGCCGGGCCTTTATACTGGGACGACCGGAGTTTTTATTCTGCCAAGAACTGTCACTCCCGCATCATACCCCGAAAACAAATTCAGGGAATATATTGCGGTTTATGGTTAGTGTCGTGCGGGGACTCATTACATGTAGGACATACGCTGGGTATGTTGGGATCGAGTCTGGATAATCAAGGTAGCTCGATCTTTTCGTCTGCTTTCGAACAAAGATCATCAATATCCTGGCCGGTTGCCAATATCGAGCAATCATCGACATATGCGGTCAAGGAAACTTCTTCTGGTGGAGGAAGGAGCTTCGAAATATAACAGTTGATATGAGGAGTGGACACCACCCGGCGGAACCCCTTTTTTAATCTTCCTCAGTTTTGATATTTGACCTCGAAATTCTACCGATGATTGACGACCACTCAGGTAGCCCATGACTCAATGTCCGATAGGGGTTGACGGCGTATAAAGCGATTGACAAATCCAGTGCTACCAGGACTGCACGCTCACAGGGCTTGGTTAAAGCCATTGACTATCTGAATTATAATGAAGTTAAGTGTTGTTTTGGAACTGTACAGTAGGGAGTAGTTAAGCCTCAAGTGTCGCCACTACCGGGGAGAGGAGGAATATCGGCCATATGACTCTCCTCTTTTGGCTGGTTTTCCCGGTTTGAGTACCAGAACCGAGAAATCAAGTATTGCGCTGGTGTTCGGAAGTTTGAGCAAGCGGAGGGTCACTCCTCGTTTCATTTGGTCAACCGAAGGCTGCAGTATTAAGAGTCGGCTAATATAGCTCGCGCATCTCTTCAGGTCTGAACTACACTGATAGTTGAGTTTATTTTGAGATTGAAGTGCTGTAGGCCTTATTTTGCTGCGCAAAACCAGGTGTTCATCTTTGTCGCAACAATTTAGTTCACCGAATGAATGGTACGTGGGTGAAGAGCTGTCCATCTAGAAACTATATTTAGAACTCGTTTAGAGTCTTTGTATGCTGAAACAACTGAGGTCGATCATTCCAGGGTCTCGCACAATTGCTTCCCTCGTGTTATTTGCGGGGGTTGACATCGTAAGTGGAGTTTCCAATATGTTGTTGTTGGTTGAACTTTTTAATGAAGCTGATTTTTTAGGTTGCTCCCGAATCCCTAAGGCGTTAATGCCATTTCATTCGCATCCGAACGATTGCTTGTTGGCTATCTAGATAATAAAAGATTTACACCCCACCGTACGGCTATTTGAAACTCTTCTTGAGGATTTGGCAAAAATCTAAATATTTTTTTTTTTTAATTACTCGGATTTCTTCGTTTGCTTTACCGGACTGCAATCCCTTGCACTTGTGTACCACAATCATACACCTTTCCTAAGTCATCTTGCAGGATATTGGATGATGAATAAAATTTCATCTGACATTGTCGCTTATTTCAGGTCAATCGATATTTCATAGTCTACAACTTCTTTATTTAGATGTAGATATTTCTTTTGAAGCTGTAATGGAACGATACACGCTTCAACAATGCATTGAACTCATTAAAGTTCACAATAAAAATCTCATAAAAAATCATCTTGACTGATGATGTCCATTTCAGCCTTGATGGCTACGCCAATATGCAAAACTGTCACTTCTGGGACTCGGAAAACACAAGATTTATTGCTGAAAATCCTTTCCATCTACAACGTGTTACTGTTTGCTGCGGTTCGTGGTCCGGCGGGTTCGAAAATGGATTTGGAGCAACAGTTACGGTGAATGGATTGCACTATCGAGAGATGATTATTGATCTTTTATAGTCGGAATCGGATGGTATTGATCTAGACAACAAACCCAACCATCGACCTTTTGATTGAAAAGTTCCTTTGAATATCAAAATAACACCTCTTATTGGAAAACCCCTTTATATGCATATTTATGTACTTACCCTTTTATAAGCGTTTTAGTCTATATGCATAAATACTTTTTTAAAAAATATATATAACGAATTTTTATTTCAAATTAAATTATTTACATATATTTTCTAAATCAACAATTAGCTTTTTTATTATTTGTTTATTTAAATGGAATAACTCAAGAATTTATAATATTTATTCCCTAACGAAGTTTGACATAATTTTAAAGATTAAAGCTTATATTATATTACACTTACATACATAGCCTATTAAAAAAAGAAGAAACGAAATACAGTAATTGCTCGTCGTCAATAATATATGTATGTATGTATGTATGTATTGAATATATGAACTGTTTTTCAATAATAATTTAGCATATGATCTTATAGAATAGTTATAGAATTAAAGCTAATTACAGTATTTTAGTTTAAATATATTTTTGCTAAGAGTAAATTTACGATAATTTTTACTATTTTAACACTTACATACATATATAACATATATAATTTATTTATTCTAGCTTTTCAATTGCTTTAAAAATGTAAAATTCTTTATGACTGACTACGTTAATTAATCATAATTATAATCATATAGTATTTATTTAATAGTTAAATTTTATTATTTTCTTTGCGAAAAATCAAGAAAAGTTTTCTTTGAAAATAACCTCAATTGTACTGGCAATAAATATAGCGAATAAAAGTTAATGATGAAGGAAAGAACTAATTGAAGTGATTCATTTTTCTATAATTTATTTTGACATCGTTCGAGAATCGATGCAGGAATAAGCGGTTATAATCAACTGACCTTGGACCTCAAGCTTCTCAGCCGTTCTTAGTTAATTAGTGGAGTTTTCGTTTGGATAAATCAAATTATTGTACCGCGGTCGCGGTAGCCTAGTGGTTAGCATTGCGTACTGACATTCGGAAGGCTCGGGTTCATATCCCGGTGCCAACAACATCCAAAAGTTATGGAAAACTAATTTAAATACAAAATTAAGTTAAAATTTCCTAATTGTGGTCGCCCCTCGGCAGTGAATGTCAACACCTCCGGGGGTGTTTCTGACATGAAATAAAGCCAACAGTCGTTCCGAGACGGCGTAGTATAAATTGTAGGTCCTGTCTGGAGGAGATGCTCGGCCGAAAAATCGCTTCACCGGTTACAAAGCGCCAATTATATATAATATATTCAGTACATTTCTTCGCCCTAAAAAAATTCGTCGGGTCAAATTTTATTACGTGATTTTTGACAAAAATGAATTATACATAGAAAAACCGAATTTTCTCGGAGAAATAAACATTAAATAATTTTATGAATGCATAAAACGTGCATAAATCGCTGTTAGCTCCAATAAATTGAAGTAATTGAGTAATATATTGTTGCGAAAATGCGAGGCGAATGTCAGATGAAAGAGAGAAGCCGATAACTAGTACATTCTAGAAACGATAAAACAAGAACCTTCCATAGCGAACAATTCGATGCTTCTACGCTTTCGTCTGCGAGCAGCCGACTGCTATATAAGGGCGACACTCAGCTGCAAGTCAAGTTAGTTACAAAGTGAACTCGTTGGCGTTAACATCGGTAAAGTCGTAAAGTAAACGCGTTGGGAATTACATTTAAGTAGAGTAAATGGTGAAAGTTTATGAAAGTGATTGTAGCTAGTAAAGTGCCTTGTAATTGAATTGTGTATTACGGAGTAAATAAAGGACATTAGATAAAATCTTTATTACGAAAGAAACTGCAAATTAAGTTGGCGAGTTTTATTTAACAATCCAGAGATCGTACCCGAAGGATTTGGGAAATCATCGAGGTTGATTTAGTAAAATCGTAACAATATGTTATGGCAGTAACTATTTCTTGTGGCGCTTAATCGATTCTTCTTTTCTAGTTTCTGGGTGGACACACGTCGATTTTGGAATTTTTTGAAAGCAAAATGCGTGTAGGAAAAAAAAATCGCGTGGAAGTTGCTACGTGTTAAAAAGGTGAGACTACTGATTTTTCAAAAGTTATAAAATTCTTGAAAGCTTTTTACGCTTTTTTAATTAAAAGAAATTGCTTCTGTGGTAATGCAAATGTTTGTATAACTCAGGCTGGAGTGGCAACTCCCAATTCAACTCTACATCACCGTCTAAAATTTTTGGATGAGGCAGCGAAAACGTTTGTTTGCTGTTGTGTCCCCTGTTGTCGTGCCGCCTTCTAAACTTGCTTAACAACGTGTTTTTGGTGATTTTAGCTCTGTTCGGTGAGAAACGTCAGTACAAATTAGACAGGAAGTTCTGCAATAGCTGTTTGTTTTAACAACTACATTTGAATACCAGTTTATCGGTTTCTGTTCTTATGTATTTTCCTAAGTATTTCAATTAAATTGGCATTTATATGACATATTCTATTTATTAATTTAATTTAAAAATTACTGAACGCAACAGATATCAACTAAAAATAAGAATATCTTATGTCTTCAATATTCCTAACTGATGTGCAGTGGTGGAGTTAAATTACCACTGGTACCAGATATTCGTTTAAAAACTACCATGCTAATGCAACCATATGATCAGAAATCAGTTGTTTTTCAAATTTGCTAGCTTTTACTAGCTAAAATATTCCTAGCGCAAATTGGCAACTTTCGCTCCAAGCTATATTGCAAATATTACTAATTTCGATTCAGTAAGATTCAGTAAAAATTGCTACTGCTCATCAGGTCACCGAGAACTTTTGAAAAATGCCACTAGTCATATCGTCATTGTATAAGCGCTGATTCACACAAACTTGCTCAGCTTGCCTGACAGATGAAAGCCTTAACTTTTCTTGAAAATTATGTAATATTTTTTATTTTGCTGCTTAATAATTTTGTAACTTTGTTTCATAGTCACCGCTTACCCGATTATAGCCGAAAAATTATGAATGATACAACGAAAATGGAGTTAATTCCTCTCAAATTTTTTTTAGATTTACCAACTATTTCTTGGCATTTGCTTTATTTTTGTCAATCAATTTGATTTATTGAAAATTAAACTCTTAACTCTTTGAAGCTAAAAAGTTTGATAAATAAAATAAGAAAACTGAAAAAAGGAAAGCAAAAAAAAAAATTCAATTAATTGCAGTTTGTTTTCTAAACTAAATAGAAATAAAAGTATTTAAAGACTTTCTTTATGAATAAAGTTGCACGGGCTTTAACACAAAATGAAAAAGGATATATTGTAAAAATAAAACTAAAAATTTAGTACCAATTTTATATTGACCTTTGCTATCATTCTAAAAATTGCTTTTCATTACATATATTACTTTTATAAATCATTTGGTTGGTCCGATATATTTTATTTAATTTTTTGTTTAAAACTAAATGCTTTGCGTTTTTGTAGTGTAATTTCTTAATTCTAGAAAGTTGAAAATATTCCTTTAAATAAAAGAAATTGTTAAAAATAAAGTAAAAGTCGAAAAGTCCATTTCATATAATAGTAAAAAAAAAATCAGTGAAACTAAAGGGTGATTTTTTTTTGGCTATTATCTTTTTGGCAACACTGGCTTAAACAGCTGACGCACGTTTCGTGTTTTGTGTCACTGTCAAACATCTTCAATTTGGTCTATAATTTAACCATGAATCGAATTATTGAATTTTATTATTCCGTGTGCGCTCCGAAGCTCATTATTGGCTTAATGGGTGCGTAAATGAGCAGAATTGTCGATTTTAGAGTGAATATCAGCCAAAAGAATTGCAAGAGCTACCAATGCATCCAGAAATAATCACAGTTTGGTGCGCTTTATGGGCTGGCGGCATCATTGGAACGTACTTCTTCAAAGATGATGCGAATCGTAACGTAACTGTGAATGGTGAGTGCTATCGTGAGATGATATCAAACTTTTTTTTTGGCACAAAATGCAAGAGCTTGACTTGCATCACATGTGGTTTAAACAACACGGTGTCACATGCCACACAGCATGCATAAAAATGGACTTATTGAGAGGCGAGTTCGCATAACATTCAAACATTAAGTTATATGGACCGTACTATCGATTCAAATAAAGATTTCATGCATTTTTCTGAATTTTATGTGTTGTTTTTGTTAAATTTTTTATAGCTCTTAAAAAATCACCCTTTACTTTGTTTTTTTTTTGTACCATGGGATATGCTACGATAAGCGAATCACCATGTTTACATATCATTTTTGTGGTTAAGCAACCCTGCCGCTTAAGTTTTCAATGCAAAATTTTTGCGGGGGGATAACTCAGCGATCTTTGGTACAATTTACCGCTACACGTATATATATATGTACTCATATATACATAAATATTTTTAATATCTAAAAGCAACGAGTAATTCGTTTATATTGTATGTATATACGTACATAAGTATGTATGTATATGTATATGTAGGTAATAAAATTTTCTAGTTCATTATTTTCTTATTAAATTTATATATATAATATATGTACTTATAACCGTTAAATACGCACATACATACATCCATAAAGGTATATGTAGTATATAAGTTTGCAATTAATCCTTCGATTCACATCTCTAAACATTTATCAACAGCTTTTACAAACATCAACATTTACTTTTATTAATATTTCTTAATTCCTTTTACTTAAAACCGAGAAGTCTTTTGAACGCACGCCTATAGTCCAAATTGAATATGGTGTAAATAACCGGATTCAGCCCGGAATTTATGTAGCCCAACCAAGTAATGAAGTTTTTGAATTTATTTGTCGGGCAGCAAGTATCGCAAAATGGCAGGATGACGTACATAAGGAAAAATGGTAGCCAACAAATAACAAACACACCCATAATAATGCCCAATGTGCGGGCAGCACGTCGTTCCTTCGACAATGATATCTTCTGTTTCTCCTCGATGAATTGGTACACACCACTAGGCTTTTTCTGCAGCGACATAGCTGTCATTGATGTGGCGCCTATGGATGATTGCGGTGGCGTTATTTTCAATGAAGTGTTCTCTTCATTATTCGAATCAATTGGTTCTGTGGCATCGGAGACAGCTTTCTGACCGCCGGTAGATAGTTCACAATTTTCCAGCTCTTTATTTTCTGCGACCATTAGAAGCGCTTCTTCCGTTCTCATGACATCAACTGAAGTGGCATTTTTGTCATCGTTAATTTCATCATTGGCCTTTTGTTGCTGCTGTAGTTTCTTCACACGCATTTTTCCTTGCTTAATTGAGTCTTTTATTTTGGCACGACGAGGTTTCTTTCGTTGCGCAACAGCGACTATTTCTTGCTCAGTGTCTGGCACATTATTCTTATCCTGTGTTTCATCATTGACATTCGCTTCGCTGCTTACAGAGTCTTGTTCATTTTGTATTATGACTTCGGTTGTTGACTGACTTGAGGATTTGCCACAACTCAATATAGTCAAACAGATTGCACCCAGCGCATAGCCTTCCCGGCTGGTATTGGTACTACTCATGACTGGCACCTCGACATCGCCACTTTTCATAGCGATTGTATTTATTTTCGAAGCTTTGGCACGCTCACGCAATCTTCGTCTGGTTGCAATGTAAATTTCGATGTATACAATGGTCATTATTGCTAAGGGAATGAAAAATGATCCCAGTGATGAGTATATCACATATCCACGGTTCGAATTTAACTCACAAGGTGTGGCACTTGTGAACTCATCTGGCCAGTCGTTCCAGCCAACAAGTGGTGGTGAACTGATCACCAAAGATAGAATCCAAACACCTGCTATTAACAAAAGTACACGACCCACGGTGCGCTTTTGAGCGTAGTTAATGGGATCTGTTATGGCCCAATACCGATCGAGCGCAATTGCACATAAATTGAGTATTGACGAAGTACAACATAAAACATCACAAGTCAGCCACATTTTACAAACATGTATGCCGAATTCCCAACGTCCGAGCATCGAATATGCCACGTTGAAGGGTTGTACAAGTAATGCGACTGTGAGATCGGCTACTGCTAGGGAGACAATAAAAAAGTTTTGAACTATTCGCAATGGTTTATATGTGAATACGCTTAAAATCACTAGTATATTTCCAATTATGGTAAGCACAATTATAATGGAGAGCACTATCGTGGTGAGTATGGCCTCCCACTCTGGCACGGCCAGTTGTACGCCAAAGTGACTCCAGTAGAATTTCTCAGTATCCGCGGAAATGCCACACTCATCGACTGTTTGTAATTGGCTGTCGTTAATTGTGGAGGCATTCACGAAAGTGGTAGTCTTCACTGTGTTGACTATTGCGGTGTCCATTGTGTGCGAAGTGTTCGTTAATGAGGAATTGATACTCTTGGGGATGCCATAATCCTTCGACGATGCGTATATGCCGTTGGAGATGTTTAACAACAACATTACTTGTTGTTGCGTTGATGGCATTTTGCATTTTCACGGCTTTAATATGACCACGGTTCAGACCGTTGTAATTATTTTATAATTAATTTTTCATAGAATTCCTTATTCAGTTCCGTTTTTGACTAGACCGCTAATGTAAGTGGATTACCATGCTGCGACCAAAAGTGTCGATGCAATTTTAGTTCAGTTAACTGCAAGAAAGAAAAGATAAAGAAATTTGTTAAAACTGGTTTTTTCCTTAAATTAAATTAAACTATTTTCATCATTCATCATATGAGTATGTAAAGCCATTCAAATACTCAAATATGCTACTCAAAAATATATAATAATATACGTGTTCACCCTATAGCCACCGAACGATATTCTGCCCAGCTCTATATGGGGAGCTTTGCCTACGGGGTTTAACTTATTTTGGAATCACATTCGGAGTGGCTGACACTCTCTGCTATCTGCCGACCTCGCTTTTCGAAAACAACTTTTTATATGTTTTTTGATGTTGGTCTGGCTAAGATTCCAGCACAAGATTCTCCAAGGCAAGTAAAAAAAGACATGTGGAATTATCTAAAGAAAATTAAAATATCTAAAAAACGTGGGCTCCATCTGGTTTTGAATTTATATTATAAATAAACAATAATAATGAAGCTTGTAAATGGACATGATTTATATTTTATGCTTTTGTTATGATTAAAAATTGCGGAAGGGATGTTTGGTGCTTTAAAAATAATTATAAGGTGTGTTGTAAGAATCGATAATATTGTTTTAAATATCGTTCAATTAAATGAGATGATACATTAACTTTGGTCCGTAGTATGTAGGTACCAGAAATGAGTCCCGATCGACTAAAAAAGACTAGTTGAGTTCATTGGGCCATATCCGTCAGTCCTTGTTTTTGGGATCTTTCAAACCAAACTTACATTCCCCTGCCACAGAATATATGATTCATCAATAACTACAATAAATTCTATATACGATACTGATGTACCTGTATCGACGGCAAAACTTGTGCTGAAAGCGCTCTTCACCATAAGAGGTTTTACCAAATTACTTATTAGAAGAGTTTAAAACGTTAATAGACAGCTTGGACCTGTTTTGGACGCTAAAAAGGATCTAATCCTCTTAGACCATTTAACCATCAATATCTATACAACAACTGGTGTGTTAATTGGGGGTTCAACGTAATAGAATGGAAAATTTTTCAAATAACTTTTTCGAAGCTGCCGAAACGTTAAGTACCATACTACATAAGATTTCAGGAAATTCCCTCTCAATTTCTAAGTTTATAAGTCACATGAAAAAGTTCGCACATCCGAGAAGGGATAAGTACAGCGCAGCGGCTTCAACTCAACTAAATAACCCCTAAATAAAAGCTATAGTTGAGGACTCTTAAGTACTGAATTTACTTAGTCAATCTTTCAACGGCAACCAAGTCACCTAAGTCGTGCTACGAAATACATGCCGAGAACGTAGTAGAACCTCCGTCATGGCTACTTTTTTCGCAAATAGGAATACTTCGATCTTTCATCTATCCAGCCCCTTTGACTACTGCTGATGCTTCTTTGCGAAAGCTAGTCTTGTAGCTTGTTCTACCTTTTTTACTTTTTCTCGCTGGCGGTCTGTTGGGGCTCATTGAAATTTCATATCGTTCACTGAAAAAAGATTAAGGCGATAAGTGAAGGTTTTTCTTAAATTTTTGCAGAACGATTAGGTTTTGATTGGACATTGTTTTAAGATTGGCGCCCAGTCTCGACAACATTCCGATGAATCAGCAGTATCCAAGTCGGATTTACGTACCGATAATGAGCAGCTTGAGCAGGTTTAAATGAAAATATCCTTAAGACCTTAATTTCTTCACCCCTGACCACTGAAAGCGATATCGTCATGGAAGAGAAAACTTTATTTTCTCACGTTGAACTAATATAATTGATTCGTGATTTGAATTTGCTCATACACAAAGCAGAGTCGCTTGTAACACTAATCTCGAACACAAATTACTGCACACAGAAATCGAAAAAGAAGGGCTGAAAAGAAAGCAATGAATTAACCAAAAAAAAAAAAAATAAATAAAAACCATTTCCATCAAACTCGGCCTCTTTAAGAACTTCGTCAAAGCTCTAAATTATGAAGAACCAGACTTTCCCAAACAATAATTTCAGATTTGTTGGTTGGTTGAAGTTGTTTGCTGGACAACAGCTCATCTAGGCGTCTTGGCCCCCACAATCTCGCTCAGGTCTCTAAATGCTGCCGCCCCCAGAGACTTCAACCTACTCCTACAAAGTGCGTGGCATTCGTAGAGAAGGTATCTCAAGTCCTCTGTACGCTATCGAATTTGTAGATAATTGATTTTTTCTCAAGAGCTGGCCACCAGTGTACAACCCATTAGGGAAGTATAGGCCTAACAACTGCAACATAGAGCCAATGGACTATTTTGGGTGACTTGCCCCATTTCCGGCCCATCGCACCTTTGCAGGTATAGAAGGCAATGGACGCCTTACGCACCCTATCCTCTGATTGTTGTGGCCAGATTAATTTCCTGTCCTGAATGAGTCCCAGGTATTTTGCAGACTCAGCAATGTCCAGGTCCGTTCCTGAGAGTATTGGTGCGGAAAATTTAGGAATGTTATACTTCCTCTTGGAAAGAATCAGTTTTCTGTGGGTTGATGCCCAGTCTATCACCAATAGCCCACTCTTCTATCACAAAAAATGTATGGGAGCTTACCAGATCGTCCGCTTACGCCTCCCTCCTCCTCCATGTATCTCAGCAGTTGGTTCACTCCCAAAATCCATAGAAGAGGCGAGACGTCACCCTCTGGGGTTCTTATACTGACATATCTAAATGTCGACACTTTAGCGATCTCAGATTTTGTGCATTGGCGTATAAAAGAAGTCACTTGAGGATCGACGCCCAGGCAAGTCTAGGCAGAAGTAACTGCAGTCGGCGCTATATTATTAAAAGCCCCCTCAATATTCAGAAAAGTCACCAAACTGTATTATTTAGCCGAAAAAGATCTTTCAAATTGTGATACCACCGTGTGTAACGCTGTCTCAGTTGACTTGACTTTCATATAGGCGTGCTGTTTTATCGACTACTTGTGAGCCACATTAGACCTAATGTATATCTTAATCAATCGTTCCGCTGTTTTAAGTTGAAAGGATGCCGGACTCATTGCTCTCTGAAAGTCTTCGGTTTACTGTGAGACGCCTTTACACATTTGGGAAAGAAAAGAATTTTCGATTCCCTCTATAATTTGGGAATGATAGTTTAGACTGAATACTCCTTTCAGTATAGCAAACAGACAGTTGGTGCTGTTATCCGAAGACTACTGTAACTGAATAGGTGCAATTTCGTCAGGTCCTGGAATTTTGTAAGGCTTACAAGAACCAATTGCCCACTTGATCTTGCTTTCTGTTAAGAGATCTAGATTTATTACTTTCAATTAAAAAATGTGATATTTTGGCCGATTTGGCCGAAAGTACAACAAATTTTATAAAAATTGAATATTCCAAATATGTAACTCATACGCAACGTACGCCTTACATAACAATAACCTTCCACTATGCCACACCTGCTACCTATCGAAGCGTTGAACAGAATTCTGATAGACATAAAATAAAAAAAACAATGCCAAACTATTCAATGAATTTCGCTATAGTTGATTTCAAACAAACCAATGCTGCAAACCCATCTGTTGATTCATTATCGAACTAATTGTTATGTTTTAGCGATGGAAAAGAATGTAGTCCATATCATCATGTCGCACAGCATATACGACTGAAATTCTTTTCATCGCGAGTAAGCAAAAGCGTTATTCACCATTTTGAAAAGCTGCCTGGAATTTCAATGATATACGTTGTATGGTATGTTGATTGAGCCTACACGAGTTTATATTACTTTTGGATTGGCATTTGCAATCACAATCAATGAGTCGCAGAGCCAACTTTTGCTTTTTGCGGCTTCGATTAAGCCATGAAATGCCTTGCGTGCGTACAATTATACGTAGCACATTCTCGCGCGTGCAAGCCATCGGGATTATTTGTGTTGTTTGGAGACGGACTGAAAAAATGTTGTACACTAAATTGAGCTCCGCAATTAATGTTGGTTGCGAATGAATATTTTTACACAAACAACTACAAAACAGCGACAAGTCTAAAGCAACAGGAATTCTGAGCACTTGGATCGTGTATATGAAGAATATGAAAACGTAAAAACTGAATACAGCTAACATGACAAAAACGTGGACTATTGACATGAATATTGGCACTGACTCGTGCTGAGATTATCCCAAATTGTTTGGGTTGCCTATGTACAATACATTTATGATGGTCACCCCTCTCAAAGGATTGATTTCAACAATTAATTATTAATGGAATAAACATATTTTAGTTAACAAAGATTGTAATTAATATCGAGAACATCTGTAAGTACCAAAACACTTACCAAATCTGTCGCAAAATTTCAAATTTTTTCATAAACAAAACATTGCACATTAGTAGATGTGAAAGAAATCATCACTTCATGGTGATGAAAAGCAAGTCTCCACCCCCTTGTACTTGTCCTCTATGATAAATACTAGCCATGGGCTGAAATTTCAAGCCCAGACAACGTTTTTTTTGCACATTGCGTGCGAAATACCATGTCATGAAATTGCATTTTTCTTCTTTGCTGTATGCGGCATACGTTTCTTCGCAACCTCGACCAACAAACGCTCCACTAACGGTATATAATATTCAGTGTTGATGGCATTTCCCTTTTCACGATAGTCGTTGAATTACGCCCCGCACATCCCAAATTGCCAAGGCCAGCCTATCATCAGTTGCTACGCCGGCAGAGTTGACAATCGTTTTGATTTCGGAGTGAGCTGACGGATCTACGTTTAATCTTTCGTCACATATCGGCACAAAATTCCGGTTTGTTACGCTTAAACATGACCAACAGTCAGAGAACGCGACATCAACTTCGAACAGAACTTTCACAGAGTCAAAGGCTGATGCAGTATAAAGCAAACATATTCTTTTTGTACAGGTTGTCTCAAAATTATCGCAAGATTTAGATTTTCAGCTGCCCATGAAGCAAAGTGGTGACAACCCTAAACAAAAAACGGCAGTTCAATAATGTAATGTTACACGATAGAACCATGTGACTTATTTTATTGAGCAATATTTCAAAAATAATGATATGTTATTCCATAAATTATGGTTGGAATAGTGTTTCAACTTGGTCATGCCAAGCACATTGGTCATCCAAAAACCAGTACTTCAAACGACAATACGAAGCTGTGCGAGAGACTGTCGATGACAATCCAGGAACCTCAAATTGGCGTCACTAAAAATCTTTGACTCCAAAATTCATTTAGAGCGAAGAGAGTTTGTTGATTGGATTAATGAGCATCCACAAATTGCTTACTGATTTTTGGACCAAAATCATTCATTGTTAAGGAAAGGGTTTGTTAAGCGGTTCTGGGAACCCAGATGTGTTTGTTAAAAAGAAATCAATCAATTAATCAATGCTGTTTAGAGTGGAATTTGGGCAGGAGGCATAATTGGGCCATAATACATTCGTGATTAGAGCCGAATTAAGAAAAGCGTACCGTTCGGTTCTCCTTTACGCTGTTTGGCGCCAGTTGTAAATACGAAATGAAACCAGGTTACTATCAACCTGATCTTTCTAACGGAGAGATGGTCTTCCTCTGCTTCCATTAGCGGGTATTGCATCGAATACTTTCAAAGCTGGAGTACTTTCATCCATTCGGGCGACATGACGTAACTAGCGTAGCCGGAGTACTTTTATTCGCTGAACTAGGTCGATGTCGCCGTATATCTCATACAACTCATCGTTCCATGGTCTGCGGTATTCGCCGTTACCAATGCGCAAATAACCATAAATCGTTTGCAAAACTTTTCTCTCTAGGACTCCTAGAGCCGACTCATCAGATGTTGACATCGTCCACTTTTCTGCGCCTTACAGTAAGACGAGTATGTTGAGCGCCTTGTAGAGTTTGGTTTTTGTTCGCGGCGAGAGGACTTTACTTTTCACTCAGTTCAATGCAGCACCTGTTAGCAACAGTGATTCTGCGCTGGATTTCAATGCAGACATTATTGTTAGTATTGTTGTGGGTTCCTAGAAGCTATGACGGTGACGTGGGAGCCAAGTCGCTGAGTCCTAAGCTCTTTATAATCTCCCATTTCGGCCTCTTTCTTTTTTTTTCTGAAAAATCGTGTTGCTTTCCTCTTCATCTCTCGGTATCTATCCCATCCCGCACGTGATGTGGTCGATTGAAAGGATGCGAGGTTGGTCTGTTTTCTGTCCACTGTTGTTTAACATTCCTCATAGTGTCAGTTCTTTTTTGATACTGCTGAAAACCAATTGCTTCCGTAGCGGCGATGCGTAGGGAGTTTAAGATGACGTTCCACAGCTCCCCAAGTTCAAGTTGATGATGACTGCGCTCAGATAGTAAGTGTGCAAGCCGAGTAGAAAACCGTTCAGCTGTTTGTTGTGATGTCGAACCTTCCTTGTATTTGTTGACTGTCGTTCTTTGATACACACAGTCGCGTGGGTTTCTTCGCTGCGATGAGATAGTAATTCGAACCGATGTTAAGATCTCGAGACATACGCACCTCTGAACACTGGTTACATGACTACCGTGCATCATAACATCGATAGCCGAGTAGCTTGGTGAATTTTTCTGTACTGGAATCTAGTGGCGGCCGCGATAGCCGAGCGGTTAGCAATGCATACTGCCTTGCGGAAGGCTCGGATCGAATCCCCGTGCGACCAACATCCAAAAATTAAATTAAATTAATAATTAAGCTAAATTTTCTAATTTCGGTTGCCCCTTGGCAGGGAAATCAAGTCCTCCTAGTGTATTTCTAACATGAAAAAAAGCTCCTCAGGCGTTCGGAGGCGGCTTAGTATGAACTGTACTACAGACAACTATGTTTCGGTCCCCGGCGAAGTCGATCCACCTCAACATTCAGAATAGATCAGATTGCTTTGTTCAAAGAGTAAGTTGGGTAATATAATTATTCAGCAACCCTAGTCATGTACCATAAGATTAATTTCTAATTTCAGCCGACTTCAAAGTTGCTAATGATCGGCATATAGAAGCGAACTGTTTGCGGATGTGTTTATTTCTACACGCTAAAGGGGCAATTACAAAAATTTCAAACCGAGAGCTACGAATTATTTTTTGTATTTTCTTTACATTGTTACAGTCATCAAATCCAGATTTGATGGACTCTTTCCAGGACTACAAACGTAATGTGTTGTCTATCAATGAGTTTGCGTCGGAATTCTGATATTATTAAAGTGAATGGTTAGGAATATAAATAGCTTCAAGGGGTGATTTTGGTTCAAGCTTTAAAATCTGAGAATTCCGATACACTTTTGTCTTTAATATTAAAAAAAAAATATTTTTAAACCTTTGAAAAAGTTTTTATTGCAAAACTTACTGTTTCATGAATTTTCGATGAAAACAACTAAAATGTAAACTGGTGACCAATATCCCAAATATTAAAAATAACGAAAGCTTGCCCGATTAAGAGGGAGGATCTCAGAGTCTTAACAAAGTATCGTGAGATAAGCATGCTCAATGTTGTATTCTGTGTGAAAATACACCACCGGCGAACTAATGGGAATTTATTAATATGGCTTTAGACCTGTTAAATCTACCATTGGCAGGATATTCACCAAGCGCCAAATCATGGAAAAGGCGTGTGATAAAATAATCGACACATACTACCTGTTCGTCGATATTAAAGAAGCCTTTGGCAGCACGAAATGATCGGCATAAAAGCCGCTATTTCTAAAATTCGTATCACCCCAAAAATTATGATGCTGTGTAAACTGACGCTAGACAATACGGGAAGCGCGGTTCGGTACCAAATTACTTTTAATTCGGGATGGCTCTCCATCTAGCGCTCAGCTAGGTAAACAGTGTAAGCTTTTACAAAAGAATATAATTGCTGACGTATGCTGATAATATTGACAAAATCTCGTCCAAGAGCCTTGAAATCCATAACAGCAGAAGCTACTACTGGACTAAAACTCATTATTCCCTTTAAGCTATGTTTCACAGACGCTTGAACATCCGATGAATCAGCATTAGCTGTTTGGGCATTGGCATTTGGTTATGCCGCAGGCGATGGGATATTAGGGCATACGAGCTATAAGGTGGCATCGATATATGTCGTTCAGTGAATCAAAAAACATTTCATTTCAGAATTAATTAATTATTTTCTAGTATTTGCTGTTTGAGAAGTGTGTTTTCAGTATCGAACTCACGTTTCGAGAGTTCTTCGATAGCAATTAGAGCTCAAGATTTTGTTTAAACATTTTCGAACCGCTTGAGCATTTGAGCAACGGATACTCGCACACTAGTTCATTGCTTATTTTTTGAAAATATTCGAACATGAACTTGAACCATTCGAGCTTTTTGGACAACAAATTTTACTATTTTCCAAGAACTATTTTCTTTCATTTTAACTTTATTTATGCAAAGCGTAAAAAAAAAAACATTACTGCTACGTGGTGCTCGATACATGGATACCTAAAGCTCCAGCATGTTTGTTATTATAGCAAAATAATCAGTTGACGATTTCATTTAGTTAAAGTAAACAAGTTGTCGTGGCGCTGAAACTGATAAAGGTAACTTAAGGTAACTCGAAGCTGTAAAAATTATCTTAGTTAATTAAGATGCCACTTTTCCAGGGGAACTAGTTACAGATCATATGAAAAGTATATCAAATTTGTTTGAATTCCATGAAAAGAACTAAGGGATACGTACGAGTCTATATGAGCATATATATAATTAAAAAATTATATATGCGAATCGTTAAATGATTTAAAATGTATTCTCTGATTTGTTTCCCATTCGCAATTTCCCGCACATTGTACTCAAGTGTGTATTCTGATATGCTAGCTTTTAACATCGGAACTAAATAGAAAAAATAAACGATTTAAAAACATACTTATGTGTGTAAGTTTGTATATACCATATGTAACATCAGAGCGTTAGTTCATTAATAGTCGAGGCAAATCAAATAAAACAATAAGACCATCTGTATTCATTCATATTATAAACATATTTATGAGCATAGTACATATTGTACGTCAAAACAATTAAAAATCAGACACATGCATGTACTTATACATATGTGTACATACACATCTCTGAAGATAATTACGCAGATATCTGAATGTACTCATATGTGAATTTCCGATATATTTGCTCTTACTCCTTCTTTGTTTGCATTGATTAATCATAATAAAAGTCGTGGCATCCATAAATTCTTTCATCACTTTACGAGTTCTATCCGCTTTGTTTGCAGTACTAAACACTTTCAAAACAACACCGTCACTTAAGACCGCAGCGGCTATTATTCACTTCACGTTTATGTATCGCGTCAGGAAATACAACGCGGAGGTGTAATCATACGTGCTCATATTTCTATGAATGTGTGCATGTGTATATGTATATGTGCAAAGAGTGCAAAAGTTTCAAATCATCACTTTAAGTGTAGTTTCTAAGATTTCACTATTGTCCAACCATTAAGCGGATTTCCACGTTTAGTACTGAATCATCGATTCGCGAGAAACAGGGCTGGCATCTCCACCACTACTATCGGAATGTTGTGCCCGAGTTTGTTGAAGTACATATTTGCTCGAGCAAACAAAAATTAAATATTTGTATATTCGTATGGGGGAATGAACATTAGGGTGTTCGCCTGAAAAACATTTCGCCATGTACTGCTAATCACTCTCTAAATGACATGATTTTGCTGAAGTAAAACTTGAGGATTTTGAGTTCTGAGTTAACTGGAGCTAACAACGTTTTTAAATATGTTGTAAGATTTATATACTTACTGTTAAGCTTAAGTAGATATAAGCAGTAACAGTAATATATGAATTGGGTATTAAAAAAAATTTGAGATTTAAATCTTTTTCGTAATTTTCATTTTATGCAAATATAAAAACTATAAATTCATCGTCTTTATCAGGCCTATTCTGTCGATGTAACAAAATTTACTTTGGTATTAAAATTTATTATTTAGTAAATTTGTTACTATTTCGTATTCTGAGTTCACTGTCGCCTTGTAAATTTTGTTATCAGCGAAATAGGAGGTAACAAAAAATGTACTCTTTGGTTTTTTGTTGTTAGTTTGAGAAAAAAGAAAAACCAAAATGGTTTGGCATATTTCAGGCCTTAAATTCATTGAAGATGAAGAAAAAAGTGTATGCCAAGAAGTATTCAAATATTTATGATTTAATAAACACATTAATAAAACTTTTTACTTTTTTTGTGCACCGTCTTCCATTTCTATGTGAATATTATTCTTTTTTACTATAACAACTGGCATATGGAATTTAACAAGGACCAAACAAGCAGTGCTGCCCAAGTTTTTTCAAACATTGTAACCAGTTCGCCAGAATACCAAATTAAATTTCGGGTATTAAAAAAAGTAACAAAATTTACTTTACCGGTAACTGTGGTACGTTTGTAAGAGTTAACTCTAGCAGGAATCTCTTGCTCTTAATTATAATATGAAAAGAACTTTGTATGTATTATTTTTCATATTAACTTTATAATACAATTTTATTTAATGAGATTTGTGAAGGAAGCTCCTAACAAACAATTGTCAAGAGCAATCTTACTTACTGCGGCTTTACTTTTCACTTTAAATGAAATCTCTCATCTTCTTGAAGTTTATGCCCAACTTCTCTCTCTGAGTATTTCCAACATTCACTTTCGGAATAGTACCAAACTTTATATTTGTTTGAACTTGTTTCACCCAAACTGCTTACAATGGTTCAAGTAGCTTACTATTCTTGTTGCTCCCCGTGTAATTCAGTAACCGACGTTATGGTCTTTGGTAGATTTGGTGCAAAAAAAAAAAAACACCCTAATAAATGTATATCTCGACCCGGCAGGGAAGCAATTTTTGATACCAAGAAATTCAATGATAGTTTTGCCTACTTTGGAGATTACCTTTTTCCATTATAAAACTAAATTGACAAATGAGTATGTAAAATATTAAACTGTTTTATATTTAGGGTATACAATTCAGCAAAGCATAGAATACTTTTAGAAAATTTTAAAACAAAGTTATTCTTATAATATTTTCTGAATTTAACTTACGTTTCATACATATTTTATGTACTCAATTAATTTTTCTTGTAAAATCATTCACCAAAGTGAGGTTTGCGTCTTGATGTTTTTCCAACAAATGGAGGCTCCTACTGTTTATACTAAACCGCCTTTAATCGACCGATGTTTTCTTAGATAGGCAAATATTCTCATCCGAGGGGCCACCACAATTAGAAAAAACCATGACTTTCCGAATGACAGTACGCAAATATATATATATATATACAAAATTATTAAACTAATTTATTACACACCAAATTTCTGTACTAAAACATTTTCCGCCAGGGCATGCGAACGGAGAAATACTAAATATTTTCGTAAACATTTATTTTAGTTCCTGCTTTGCTGTCGTTTGTGTATTGTATACGTTACGGATTTCTTATTTTAGTTTTTGTTTTCTCACGATGGCGCTATTTCTGCTTATTGAACCAATGCTTTCCTCACCAGGCACCCTCGACTGACTTTCTCGTTGCTCCGATCTGACTTTTGAGTAAATTCTTGCTTCCGTCGTTTGCCGCCATGCAGCTGAGATGTGGCAAGCTGTCTACGACTTCGGATTAAAATACTATATTTGTACATACTCATACCTATGTATATTTGTGTATATGCAGCATTGGTACATGCGTCTTTCCTTAGGAATTCTTATTATACTCATATATACAGGAATTTATATTAAAGAATTAGTAAGGATTTTACTATAAGCAATAATGAGATTATGAAACCTACTGGAATACATACGGGTAAATATCTGAAGAAGCAATTAAGCAACTGTAAGCACCATCAGACCACTTTTGGCTTGCAATCAATGGCCAAGCTGCCCTGAACTGGAAATAGATCATGGAAGATCTGGAAAGAGTATTTAATTTGTTGCACAAACATCTATTTGGTTCGTGCATTTCAAAATTGGTCTAGATGATCTTCAAGTGATTATAAGGTTAAGATCGAAAGGAAGGAATGGGCTATTGATAATAACTCTTATCAATTTCGTTAAAATTAAAACTCCAAGCAATTTTCTACGACTCAATGCCATGGCTAAGCGGTTTTTTCTGAACCATGTACGGGTAGTTGGACACAGTTATATACCGTGTAATGAGATGGCTGATGGGCTTGCAAGGAAGGGCACTTCCCTTCCAATTTCGTTATCATGGAAGAGTCTGGGCATGCCGCTATCCCATTGTAAGCTCAATACAAGGGAATTATTCGCTAAGTTGAAGAAGTTTCAATGCATCTAATATGGTCAAGACATTATGGCCAGAATGAATCGGAAGAAGGTCACGTAACCTTAGCGAGCTAAAAAGAAAAGAGATAACAACAATTAAAGGCCTTCTAACAGGGCATATTCTATTAGGCAAGAAGCAGAGAAATTTTACGTACCATCAAACGATTTGTGCAGAAGTTACAGAGAAGAAGAAGAACCAGAAACCTTAAGACACTTTCTCTGCGAATGCCTCGCACTTTGGAGGAGTAGGTTGAAATCTCTAGAAGCGGTAGAAGAAGACGCGTCAACTGCGCTGCTTTACAAACTCCACACAGTGGTGCGATTAGCGAGTGAGACTCATTAGGATCCTCAGTGGTATCACAATGTGTGCACTGCGGGCCTGGGTGAGCTGATGCCTGCAACCAACTATGAAGTGTAGGCAGATTAATGAGCTAGTTTGGCCTCAAAATTGAAATAAAGTGTAATTTGGCAATGTATGTGTCATTGAGCTCATTAGCCCAACGTTTAACCAAAGCTAAAACGCCATTTATCTTATTATCACAAGAATTTATATTCTAGCTAAGGGACCATTGTGACACCTGAATCGATAAAATCACCAATTTATTCAACACTGTAATTATGTATCATATTGGCAAAGGAATGGAAAAATTATCTGGAGAAACACGTATATTTGCACTTTGCCGCTTGACTAAATTATTTAGGCCAAGTTGCAAAAGTTTTCTCGCAATCTTTAATAGAACGAACCGATTTAAGAAGCTCGACTTCACCTGCGTACATGAGAGTTTTAAAATATAATGAGCAACCACGTTTGGAAGGCCATTGTAGAATTTGAGGGAGAGGAAATGACTGATGTGACTGCAATAAGGAACACCAGAAGATACTGACCCTTGTGGGTAAGGGGCTCAAGAATTTACCCGCGGTAAGGCATGTATATCGTAAGAGGCGACTAAAATCCAATAGTTTCCGGGACAGTCGGGTCTTTATTATCCGGCCAAGGACTGTCACTCCCGCAACATTCCCCAAAAAGTACTTTGGGAAATAATTTTGCGGTTACAACAACAACAACACCACAAGATACTGATATTTCGAATGATGTGCAATATTATTATTTGCCTTCTACCAATCAAGTATCCACTAGTAATAAGTAAGGGTAAATGAAATCGGTGTTCGACGCACAATTAGACTCGAAAAAGCCTGCGCACGCATATGCGACTCTGTAACAATCACTGGAAACTTCAGCATTGATTTTTATAGATGAAGGAAACCGAAAAGTCTCACGTTTCAAATTAACAAAACTTCCTGTAACACAACTCATTCAAAATATTTTAATTTTTTCTAACTACATAATAAGCAATATAAACAGAAAATTTTGCAGACCTTTTTATAGAGCTTGAATTATCTAGTCTTCTTATTTTTCAAGCTTTTCAATTCTTTATTAAAAAACAACTTGTGTATGCAATTATTTGAATAACAATAAAAAGTCAAAATCAAATGACAATCTAGTCGCGATAGATAAGTTTAAAAAATACAAAAATTGCGATTGTCCAGTAACAACAATACTTAAGGACAAAACTATGACTATTAAGTACGGTTTGACCACTTATTTTTATAATGAGATGAAAACATGACCATTATAACCGTAATCGGACTATCTATCTCTGTCCCGCGGTAATTTAAGCACTGATTATTCTTAGTATTAACAAATAACACAAGACTTATTTTTATTATTGTATTATTTTTTAATTCTGGCTTCTCGTACTAAAAAGATTTTCTGGCAGTTTTGTAATTGGTTGATTCAGTTTTGTTTAAGCATGCGTCAATGATGGACACTAGCAAAGAGAGCCAGGCGGCTGAAAATGTATATAATGTTTATGGTGCTGATACTGTTACGGCATGCATAGTGTCATTCCGGTAATTTTGATGTAAAAAATACTTCACGGAGTGGAAGGCCAATTGTCGAAAATGTAGATAAACTCATGGACATTGTCGAGTCCGACCGTCTTGTAAGCACTAGCCACACCACATGCGTCGGTACACTTCAAGGGTTTGAAACTTTTTCCGTATTTGTAATGTACATATATGCGCGACATTTAACTGGAAATAGTTTATTTATTTGATTTCTTGGCATTTAGAAAATTATATTCGTATGTGCGTAAGTGCATATACATACTTATATACATACATATATATGTATACACGCACTAGTATAATTGTATCAATAATAATAATTTTGGC